GGTTTCTGAAACGAATTTACAGCCAATAATTGAGGTGTTCTCACTTCTTGCCATTGCAACATCATATATCGGATTCGTTTTGGGCCTTCCCGATTTCCTGGCTGCTTGTGAGTTTTCCTTCAGTATTGATCTCACGAAATGTAGGATATGAGTATGTGTCGGACACTGGCAATGTTTTCTACATGTCTAGAGGGTCTTTAGTGAACCATCTTTATATTTCTGGCTACATATGCATATGCATGTGTTGTATTGATGAAACTGCTTGATTTCGGTACAGGATATCTTGTTATAATGCTCTGATTGCCTAGTTTCTTTTCAAGATTTCTGGCCTTATGAAAATGTTCATTTTTTTCCGATCACTTCAGTGCTGAAACTTCCGGCCAGTGAGAATAAGCCTCAACCATCTCTTGACCTTGGTTCCACCTCTAGGACTTGCTTTGCTAGACCCGGAGATATTTTTTAAAGCCTTGGATTTTTCCGGAACATATGGAGGTAATTCTCTAAACCAATTTTGCACCTGCAACTAAACTAATTATGTTACGTTGTTCGAACTCTTTATTGACCGATACATATCCGGATGAATATATATTTGCAAAGGGATTTCGGTACCTTGCGTTGCAAACAACAAAACCAATTGTTGTTTTCATTAAGAGTCTCAACTCCTTTGCCTTGTAAACACCCGAAAGCGATCAAACCTTCCATGTTTGTGCCTGTAACATCCTTAATATCAGGTTAGTGACCAAATTATAAAGTTTCAGAAATTGGTGATTAAAGTAGGATAATTGAATAGTTCAATGATTTATTGGAAATATGATAAAGGTTATTTAGTAATTATTGAATGGATTAAAGGGTAAAAGGGTAAATTGACAAGTAATATTTTTATATTTCTTTTATAAGAAAAGGAATCACGTGGGAAAGGGGAGAATTATCCAGAGTTTTCTTTCTTCTTCTTCCTCCTCCCGTATCTCCAAGCACAAAGGTGAGTTTCTTTGTTTATGGATTAATTTTTAATTTTAAGGTTGGGTTTTGATTATTAGATGATAACTAAGCTTAAGGAAAGCTTAAGTTATCTTAAAATCAAAGTATGATGGAGTTAGGAGGGATTAAAGATTTGAGGTTCTTGGGTGAAATCTTGAAATAGAGTTAATAACTAGAGTTGGAAGTTAAATTTGACTTGTCAAGGGTCTAATTAAGAAGTTAGAAGCCATAGAATTGGAATTAAAACATATTGCAAAGTTGGTTTAATTCTTGAGTTACATATGAGGAATAGAATTTTGAAGTTAAAGATGATTTATATGGATATAAATTGGTTTAAGCATGTGTATATGAGTTGAGAACATGAAAGGGGTTGAAAGATGAAGCATTTGAGTTGATTTGAGTAGATTTTCGGGCTTAAAAATGAATTCTGGGGTATGTGCATCGATGCACATTCAATGTACACCGATGCATCAAGGGTAAATTTCCAGAACTTGTTCAGTGTGTATCGATGCACAGGAAGTGCATCGATGCACCTATTAAAAATGGAAACATCGAATGCAATTAGTGCATCGATGCATAAGGAGTGCATCGATGCACCCCCTTAAAATGAAAACATTGAAGGTGATTGGTGTATCGATGCATGGGTAGTGCATCGATGCACTTTAAAGGAAATAGAATTATACCTTTCTTTTGGTCTAAGAAATGATAGATTAGTGTATATCAATTGGATACTAATATGTATCAATGTATGATTATATAGATATCGAGTACGAACAAGTACCGGAACGATTATCAAGTTATGATTCGATCGCAAGAGAGGAAATTATAAAAAATGGATTGGAACTTAGTGAGGCCAAGGTGAGCGCGCATTATTTTATATATGATGTTTAATGGGAAATAAGACTTGCGACAAGTCTATTTTCTATAGTATTGTGCATGAAGAATGAACATGAACATGTGTTTGTTATGAGTGTCTGAGTTATATGTTATGGTATGTGTTGACATATTATTGTATATGTATTTCATGGTTGATGTGAATATATGCTATGTTATGATGATATAAACTATATGATATGATAAGAAATTATATGAATATAAAAGAGAAGTTATGTGATAAGATCTTTGAGATATATAGAAATGGAATATAAGATTACGCGAATACATGATATGGGATAAATTAGGTAATAATATGGGAATATGGTAAAAAGCGAGTTTAGAAGAAATGATAGGAATGAAGTAATCAAGTGTAAAGGTTATATAAACAATAAGAATGTGAGTTGGGTAAGTGAATAGTGGTATGAACATTTATGTGAAATAGTAAAATAGAATTATATCATTGAATGAGAATTGAAACAAGATAGATAATATTGACCTATATGATGATATGAGACTTGAACATAAGTGATAATAGGAACATATAAGATGAGTTAGATGGTAAAAATACATATGCTTAAATAAAATTATGATAAATGGGTTGTATGATGGAAATCTACGTAGTCATATTAGAAAGTTATAAGTACTATATGAATTGAATTAGGTAAATAGATTAGATTAGTATATAAATGAAATAATAGAAGTGACATATGTTTATGAGTATGAAAGGGGTGATATGATCTAGGTGAATATCATAGAATGAGGTATAAGCTATATGATATGAGATAAGTTATTTTATACATATATGATATAAGCTATTAATCAGGATATATGAGATTATGAGAAGGAGAATATAAATGATGTGAATACAAGTACAGGAAAAATGATATGTATATATATATATATAGGAAGATGAATTATATGAATACACATTTAGATGATGAAATGATAGATTATATGAACATGTGAATATATATATATATATATATATATATATATAATAAGACATAAAAATAAGATATAAGCAATGTGACAAGAAATGTGAAATAGTATGAAAAGTGGATATGAACTACGTGATATGTGAAAGTGATTTACGTGTTTATAAGTATATATGATTTAACTCGTGTGACATAATCTACGTGCTATGTGAAAGTGAACTACGTGTTTATGTGAAAATGTGAAATGACATAAATGGCGATGCTCATGTTATGTGTCATGAGAGTTAGGGTATAGTTGGCATGCCAAGAGTCGAGGGTCTACGCGGTCCTTCGGGACATATATGTATTCTTTGGAACATGTGTGAGGTCTTTTGAGACACATACTTGATCCTTGGCATATGTATATGATTCTTAAGGAATTTTCTACGTGGTCCTTAGGGACAACCTTATATGGCACTTCGGTGCATTTCTACGCGGCACTACAGTGCAATTCTACGTGGCACTTCGGTGCATTTATACGAGCTGTGGTGACAGCATTAGTGCACAACCTCTATAGACTCACATATATATAGTTCTCACATGTGTACATGGGCTAATAAAGAAAAAATAACAAATATATTACATGTGATTTGTATGCTTTTGAGCTATGAATGATATTATATGATTTATATGATGATATGTGGATTGTATGATTAAATGAGGCAAATGTTGGTTAAAATGCTAGGTACAAGAGGATATGTATTAAGTGATATAAACGATAATAATATTGATAATGAAATAAGGCTAATGATGAAAATGATGAGTGATGAATATATGTGTGTATATGTTCTTATATGTAATGATATATTGCATATGTGTTATAGGGATTTGTTACATGAATAAGGGTATGAGTGATAGTAGTAATTGTTCATGCATGATTACAAACTATAGTTTATATTTTATGTTTATTGCCTCACTAAGTCATAGATTTAGCGTGTGATTGTTTCACACGTAGGTTATCGAAGTGAGAAGAGTAAAGAGCAATGTGGAGCAAGACAGGTCAGTTCTTCTTACCAAAGGTCAGATCAGAAGAAATGTGAATAATATGTATTTTAATACATAAAGTTCTAGTTGGCATGTATTCAAAATAATATATTGTATAAGCTCTGAATAATAGTTCGGTAAAGGTTTTGAATAAGTTATATGTAATAATAAATTTTAAATTACTCACTATTTTATACAAGTAAAGGTTTTGAAAAGTCAATGTAACACTTCGGATTCGGATCCGGGTCGGATACGAGTTGGGGGTGTTACATTGTCAGTACTGATGTTTTTCGGAATACTTCCTGCTGCGATGTCGTGGTCGGACCGGTACTCCCGGACTTCATCAACATCGATTAAGCTGCCGGAGCTTGTTCCGGGAGGAAGACTTACCCTTATTCTGGTAATGGCATGTTCAGGAGGAGTCATTGCTGCTGAAATACTTGAGAGCTTAGGGCACCCATGATTGTAATTATAATTTAGACAATAATTGAATTGTTCTTATAATCTATGGCTTCATGCTTTTTAATTTTTAATTTTATTTCTTTATTTTCTATTGTTAATTATATTTTTAATTTTATTTATGTTTTAAAAAATTGACAATTCCATCTATAAAGTATTTTGAATCTTAATTTAATACTCGATCTAAATTAATTAATTAGTAAATTAAATATTAGTAATGATAAAAATATATGTTTATATAAAATTAATAGTGAAATGGTATTAATATAATGTGGGAATTAGTTATGATGATTTTGAGTTATTTTATTTTATTTGCTTTTTATATAAAAATTACTTAAGCTTTATCGTAACTCTTATAACGTTTTTATTTTACATATCTAAATTAAATAATTTTATTAAATTATTTTTTTCGTAAAAATAATGAATGTTTTTTTATCTATTCCTATAGTATATTATATTGGATTCCTTTTTAAGTTTTTGTTTGTATGATTCTATTTTATTATTTTGTTATTAATTTATAGATATTAATAATTTATAAAAGAAATATCAATTAATATGATTTAATTTATTTTAATCTTGTATACTCTTTTCAAAACTTTATAATTTTTAATTTTTTGGATAAATAATTTTTTTAATTTTTATTTTTTTTAAAACAAACAACTATTAATCTATTATTAGTTTAAAAAATTAGTTTTGAAGTTCTGGTCCTAAACATGTAAACCTCTTGGTGAGAAAATGTTTTTAAAACAAAAACAGAGAAAGAAACACTTTGTGCGTTGGCCGACGGAGGACGAAGAGCCAGCCAAGTTATGCGATAGTGTGCTAAAGCTTCAAACTTTATAGCCCTTACTCAAAGAGTCCAAACCCAGGTAAATTTCAATGCTTATTCAATCCCTTGATTTTCGATTTTTCCCCTTAAGAAAGAACCGTCTTTTCGTTCAATTTTCGACAAAGTTCCTTCCGGCCACACTTCAGTTTGTTTCCTCTTTCACTGCCCTTATTGCTGCGAATGAAGTAAACCCATCTTTAAAAGTCCCACCTTTCAAAGAAAAGGCAAAGCTCGAAAGAATTGGAAAATTAAAACTTTATTCTAAGATTCTGCATGATTGTGCTTCGAAAGGGTATTTGAGTTCAGCTAAAGTTCTTCACGGGAAGATAATAAGAATTAGGTTTGATCCAGATTTGTTTTTATGGAACTCTTTAGTGGATGTTTATGCGAAATGTGGGAGCTTCGGATATGCTTGTAAAGTGCTTGATAAAATGCCTGAAAGAGACGTTGTGTCTTGGACTGCTCTGTTTTCTGGTTTAGTTAATGAAGGGTATGGAAATGATGTGTTGGGTTTTTATTGTTTCATGAAGAAAGATGGAGTTAGACCAAATGGGCATTGCTTGGTGACTACTTTGAAAGCTTGTTCTTTGAATTCAGAATTGTTTTTTGGGACACTGTTGCATGGAGAAGGTGTTAAAGTTGGGCTTTTGTTTGATGTATTTGTTGGTTCCTCTCTTGTTGATCTTTATGCAAAATGTGGTCAGATGGAATTGGCAGAGAGAGTGTTTGTTTACATGGATAAAAAGAATGTTGTGTCATGGAATGCATTGCTTAATGGATATGCTCTAAAGGGTGATGCAGGAAAGATTTTGGATTTGTTCCGAGGGATGACGGAATCCGAATTGAGGTGCAGTAAGTTTACTTTGTCAAATGTGCTCAAAAGTTGTTCGTACTCGGAAAATGTAACATGGGGCTTGATTGCGCATTCTTTGGTGATTAAGACCGGATGTGAGCACGATGAATTTGTTGGTTGTTGCCTTCTTGACATGTATTCAAAATGTGGAGTAGCTAGGGATGCACTTAAGGTATTTAAAAGGGTTCAAAGGCCCAATACGGTAGCCTGGAGTGCGATGATCGACTGCCTTGATGAGCACGGTCAGATTCGAGAAGCAGCAGAGTTGTTTTGCCTAATGAGACACAAAGGGGTAAGCCCCAATCAACATACGTTTGCAAGTATTGCTAGTGTAGCTGCTAATTTGGGTGATCAGTTTTATTGTGAAGCCATTCATGCTTGTATACTCAAACATGGATTTGAATCTGAAATCATTTTGTGCAATGCACTTATTGCAATGTATATGAAAGTCAGGTCAGTCCAAAATGGTTGGCATGCGTTTAAGGAAATTAGTTCTTGGGATTTAGCTTCATGGAATGCTCTTCTTTCCGGATATCATAGCGATAAAACTTGTTATCAGGGACCAGGTATCTTTCACAAGATGCTTGCTGAAGGTTTTAAGCCTGATATCTATACATTTACTAGCATTTTAAAATCTTGTTCCCATCTTTTAAATCTAAAATTTGGACAGCAAGTGCATGTCCATATAATAAAGAATGGCCTGAATGAGAATAATTCAGTGGGAACATCTCTTATCGACTTGTATGTTAAAAACGGATTCTTGGCAGATGCAGATCTACTTTTTAGTCAATTGATTGAGAGAGATCTTTTATCATGGACAACATTAATTTCTGGTTATGCCAAAAGTGATCGATCGGAGAAGGCTATCGAGTACTTCAATCAGATGCAATGGCAAGGTGTGAAACCCAATGAATTCACTCTTGCCACCTGTTTGAGTAGTTGCTCCAAGATGGCGATGTTGGAAAATGGGCAGTTGCTTCATTCTATGGCGATTAAAGCTGGGAGTTTTGATGATGTGTTTGTATCTTCTGCGATTGTAGATATGTATGCCAACTGTGGTTGCATAGAAGAAGCTGAAGCTGCTTTCCAGGGCATGGTGTTAACAGATGTTGTTTCATGGAATACAATGTTATTCGGATACTTGCAACATGGGCAAGGATCGAATGTTCTAGAAACTTTCAATACAATGTTAGATAAATTCATTGAGCCAGATGAGGTTACATTCATTGCAGTTTTATCTGCGTGTAGTTATACAGGCTTGGTCAAAGAAGGGAAAGAGCACTTCGACTCTTTGACCAAGGTTTATGGCATGACACCTACAATCAAGCATCATGCTTGTATGATCGATGTATTAGCCCAAGCCGGAAAGTTTAACGAAGTCGAAAGCTTCATCAACGACACGGAGATTACATCGAACCCCTTGATTTGGGAGACAGTTTTAGGGGCTTGTGCAAGGCATGGGAATGACAAACTTGGTGAAAGTGCTGCAGAGAAACTGTTGGGGCTTGACCCTGGTATAGCCTCCCATTACATATTACTAGCGAATCTTTTTGCGGCCAAGGGTCAGTGGGAAGATGTCCGACGAGTCAGGGCATTGATGACCCATTGTGGTGTTAAGAAAGAAGGTGAGTGTAGTTGGGTGATGGTCAATGGTCGAGTGCATGTTTTCAGGTCCGGAGATGGTTTTCATCCAAGACACGAGGAGATCTACGTGAAAGGAGCTTCTTGTTCTGTTCAATCACTTGATTATTACTTGTATATGCCTCATATTTTTGATTGTTTGGAGTGAACTTATTAAAATTCCCCTCTCAAATAAAATTGAGTTAGTTTAGTTGACCATTAATATTTTATAGTTGCTCCGTAGCTCCACTTACTAGCACGTCGGAAGTAGCATTGTCGTAGCCTGTCCATAGCGAAGGATACATCATTAGCAAAAATTCATTAAAAACTTTTCTTTTGTTTTTATTCCGACTTAGCTTTAATTGCCACAACCATTAAGCCCAGATGAATTATAAATCCAACTAGTCAACTTCTTGTGTGAGACTGCTTCGAAATACAGACGCCGAGTATAGCCGTGCAAAAAGACTGTTCAGATCCCTTCCGCAATAAGACAGTTATCATGGAAATGTTAGTCTGGTTGTGTCTCATCAGTGAAACTACTCATAATCCTGAATTTCAGCCCATAAAAGCACTATATAGCATAAACTTTTAACAAACCTCAACTGAAATTATTATATAAATCAAAAGAAAAAGGGTATAATTTCTTGCTCCCGCAGAATTCATTTGCATATGAATTTACATTACTGGTTTCAACCAGAGCCATCAAACTACTAAGAATTTACATTTGTCACCCTCGATCCCTCCCACACAACACAAAAGGGGTGTATATACTTATATATCAAAGGAGGGGAAAAATAAAAGAAAACTCAAGCCAAACTCTCATCTTTACTTTTGCCATTTCTGCTTCCCTCAACTCTTGATGAACAATGGAAAGCCGAGTATGATTTGATCAACTGAGATCATCCGAATAATTGGGATTGAAATCTTGCAATAGAATATTACATGTACATATGGTTATCTCACTGTGTTAATGAGCCAAGTCCTCACTCCCAATGCCAACGCTAGACTTGTCTAACATGCGGACATTGTATTGCTCGTATACTCTTGCTCTGTTCTCTGCCCACCATTGTTCTGCTTGATTCTCGCTAAACCGCTTCTTACTGCATTTAAAATTTCAAAAACCGTTTATTTCTCTTCAATGTTACCATATCAAACGTTGACAGTCGATATGTTACACCGAATAGTCACACATACCGAATAGTCACACATATCAAGGGTGATCTAAACAGGAATGGTTATTTTTAGGCCATTAAATATTTCTTGGAGTGTGTAAAGTGGATTGTTATAGCTTTAAAGTAAATCATGTCAACAGTCATCTTCACTTAATTTAACACACGTGAACTTAGTTCAGAGGCCCAAAATATGGTTGCAAGCTTAGCACTTAACAATGCATTTAGAAGTACATCTCAAAGCTTATGCTTACTTAGCCGTTCGTCAAAGCCAAGCAAGAGTTTGAATTGATTTTTTCACATGTTTAAATCATACGAAAGACCTTATATCAGGCTAAACTGGGCTGTTTATGAACGCTTTCTTAATTATCATCTTCATTTAGCTTGCTACACGCAGAAATGTCCTCTCCAACAAATTACTCCTGATTTTCCATTATCTTATCTACAAAATTTAGAATTGCCAAAGAGAGTAACGAAAAACATACCTAAAGCGAACTCGCTTGAGATCCTTGGCACCTCCTGGTAGAGAAGTAAGTGTTATATACACACCAGGTTCATCTTGCTCAACCCATTCATTCTCATTTTGAGATTCACCTTCTTTTGTTCTACCTCCACTTTTTGTTGCTGGTTCAATATGGTCTTGTTTATTGTGGCCAGAATTACGGTTACTGGTAGTGTTGGATCCATTAGAAAGCAACTGGTTGTTTGATACATTTGAATCTTGTTCTTGGCACGCTATTTGACAATTCAATCTGTCAACTGAAACACTAGAGGCATCACTGGAAGCAGGGTTAGAGCCAAACGAAGTAAATGAAGGTGATTTGATACTCCGTGCAGCTCCCACAGGCAGTCTTTCAGCCATATCCTTTAACTGTTCAACACATGAATAATAATCCACCTCAGTAAAAAAAAAACATAATTAAAGTATTGAAAGTCCAACCAATCACTTGACTGACTCTAGTGATGCAATTAGAAAGCATTTAAACTATAGGCTGGAAAAACTCGTAATGCACCAATAACAGTATGCACCAAGGCTAATACATTAAATATACAAAAGCATTTAATCTGCAACTGAAAAAATTCTACATGAGAAGTAGTTCTCCATTATGATTCCATGATCTATATCGCTATCCATTGAATAGCTTTGTGATTCTAACTTCTTAAAAGAACACAACAGCGATATAATCAACCTAAGGTGTAGTATTTTTTTTTTTGAAAGGTAAGCGTAGTATAATTGAATTTGAGCATGCTTGTGATCTTGTGACATGCTCAGTCATGGCTCACACTGACTTGCAAGATATTGTCCACTTTAGGCCCATTCGGATATATATGAGAGGAAACCCGAGTATAAAAACTATGGAATGACATGATCAGGTAAGTAAACAACAGAGGACAAAAAATTATAGTTCAAAATTCAAAGTAATGATCACTCGTAACACATCGCAAGGTATAGATATAGGGTTAAAGTTTTATGAAAACAATATCCATGGAGTAAAACACAAATCCATCTTACTTGGGCAGTAAGTGACTTGATAACTTCTTTTGCTGCTTTGCACTTTGCAGTTTCCTCCTCTGCAATTGTTATTGCCTCCTTGAGCTGTTTCGTTGTTTTCTCCAGCTCAACATCTTGAAGCTGTGCTTTACGTGTAAGATTCTCCACCTGTACAGATTGGTAACACAAGTATAAGCACTGCATAATCTGTAAAGCAAGTTAAACAAACTTGCTTAATAAAGGAAACAAGCTTAAATCTTCCCCACTGTAAATATCCTGCAAAAATTAAAGCATAGCACCTAATTTTTATCATTGTGAAGTGCAAAAGAGATAGTATACCTGTGCTCTTAATCTGAAAATCTCTTGACTAAGGTTATCATTGGTCCTCTTAGCATCATCAACAAATAATTTAGGAGAAGTGAGGCCCCCAAGAGTTGGAGTTGGTGTAGTTGACCGAGGAGGACTAGGACGCCTTGATATTGGTGATGTTGCACGAGAAACAATTCTTGATCCAGGAACAGAAGCTGAAAAAAATTTCTTGGATGATCCAAATACTGGATTAAAAGATTTGGCAATATTAAGGGCTCCCCACTGGGATCCTCCATTTGGAACTGGTGAGACTCGACTACTATTAAATTCTAGCTTCTTGTTCCTCTTTGATCGACTTTCTCCTTGCTTCAAGGATTCCATTGACGAAAACCAAGCAAGTTGTGCACGATTTTTGGAATCTGACTTATCATCTTTATCAACAAATACAATAGTCCCATGATTTAAGCTTCCCCTACTACTTACAGAAGATTGTGATAATGCCTCAGTTTCAGAAGCTTTCCTCAAATTATTAAAACAATTGTCGCATACGCGATGAGGTTTGTTGGGATTTGGAGCCATGGAAGCCTTAAGACATTTCTTACTGCTACATGTGTGACAAAAGGCAAGTCCACAGTTATAACAATTGTGACGTTTTCGTTTGAAATTAAAGGGGAGGAGACAACCAGAACACATGGACTGATCAACGCCCGAAACCCATTTATGGAGACAGATTGCTGCAGTGAAGTTAGTTCCACAAACGATACTTTTAACTTGCTTGTCTTTCAGTGCTTCTAACAAAGTAGGGGTGTTTCTATCATCAACATCCCCGTGACCTAATCGACCATTTGCTCCCTTCCCCCATGTGTAGACTTCAGTTCTGGAAGTCAGAGCTGCAACATGATAAGCACCACAAGAAATCTCCTCAACGAAACTCTTAGAAAGCTTTCCTTCAACACGGGTAGGAAACTTTCCATCAGCCTGAGGATTTCCCAGCTGCCCGTAAACAGAGCTTCCCATAGTGTAGACATCCCCTGATCTTGCAAGGGCAACTGTCATACCGTGTCCACAAGTAACTTGACAAAAATTTGGTTCAAAAAGAGCAGCAACACAAGTAGGAACAAGTTTTGATTCCTTATCACCATGCCCAAGACCTTTATCACCATCTCCCCATGTAAACAACTTCCCTGAGGAACAGTTGCTAGAACTCGAATTTCCAACCATGACTTCAACAATGGCAGCAGTATGCCACACTCCACAAGCTGCTCGCACAGTGCGGAGCCCCTTTAGGGATTCCACTTCCCTTGGAATTGACACGCTATTCCGATCTCCATGACCCAAAACACCAAATGTTCCATCACCAAAGGTAAACACCTGACCAGGAGAGGTCACTACAGCTGTATGCCAGGGGCCACAAGAGATTGATGAGACATGTATGCCCTCCAAGGGTCCATTCAGTCGTTTTGGCACCCAATGACTTACTTCATTTCCATGACCAAGAAGACCAAAATTACATGTACCATCACCCCATGTGTACAAATCACCAGAAAGTGTTACAGCACAAGTATGGTGCTCACCACATGCTACAAGCTCAACGTTAGTATTACTAAGGGCATCAATGAGCTTAGGATGCAAAACATCAGATTCTACACCATGCCCAAGCCGACCCCCAGATTCCTCTCCCCAGGAGAAAACTTCCCCCTGCTTGGTTACCAAGGCAGCATGTCGACCACCACAGGCAATATTCTGGACATCAAGAACAACTGCAGATTCTAAAGCCTTGGGCAATAATGAATCCATTTTAATAGCAGAATTGTCAATTTTATGAAGTCCACCACCCAAAACACCATCCCCAGTGCCTTCACCCCAAATGAAAACATCACCTAAGGCATCACCATCATCATGACCAGACCCTTGACTTGATGAACTAACAGCACTTGAAAGACTAACCCTAAAAGCATCCATTGTCATAGTCTTCATGTGACCGTGTACACTATCTGATCCAGTGGAAGACAAAGAATGAATTGAACCACTAGCAGAATCTGGGTGAAAGAAGCCTTTTGGAGGAACTGCATATAAGACATCTGAAAATGCCTTATCCAGACCATTCTTCGGAGGACTTTCATACGGACTATGGGTGCCAAGGTGATCCCTACCATCCTGAATTTAAGTAGAAAAAGCATCTTAAAATCATTATCTTGCAGTGTTAAAGCAGATTCTGCAGGGGAGGGGGGGGGGTTTGAAGCAAATACCTTCTGCAAGCTATTGTTACTGCCAAATGGAGAATTCAAAGGTGAACTTCTTCGTGTGTATGTTCTTGGACTACTTGCTTCAGAAGGAATGCCATTACTTCTTGATTCTGTCCTCCATTTTCTTTGGTGGCAACGAGAGATTAATGTTTTTATACCACTAAACCAGACTTCAGCTTCATCTTTATCCTTGCAGATCTAATATATGATAACAATATAAATACTTTTAGCTGTTTGGATATGGCACAAGAAAAGAGGTGCAATCAGATAGACAAGAAGTCATGCTTACAAAGAGGCATATTCTTACCAAATCCAGAGATCTCTCATTATATATAAGTGAAAAAGATTGATACTCTTTCTCGGGCCAAGGATATCTTTGAAAGATAGGCTGGGAGATCAAATAGACCATTCTTAATCAGTACTAGATGAAAAAAAAAGTTGTAATAATACAATGTCAGTGTCCTGAAGACAAGACACGAATGATGAAGAAAATACTACCACAAAAGAATATATAGGAGCCACTGTAATAAAAATAATACACACAAAATAGACCTACAACAACTCATTACCCACTATTTCATGCAATTGTGATAAATTCTACATCAGTTTGGGGTAAAGTTTACATAATTTCTAATCAAGTTTCCTAATGAAAAATAAATGTCGATGTATAAAATATGAATCATGGAGGCATAGAAGAGAAAAGGAAAATGATTAAAAAAAATCACCAAAAAACAGACTTCTCCTTTAAATCTTAATCAGGCAAGTAACTAACTCTATAAATATTGCCAACCTCTTGGAAAAGTAGCCACAGAAAACAAACCATCACTACAGAAAACCACTTACAGTGCGCTGCCCAGATATGATTCTGGACACATGACTTAGTTTAAGATGTTTCTCCTCTTTCCCCGAGAACCATATTAAAACAGACTCATCCTGAAAGGAGAATTACAATGAAGAATTAGGCTTCAAGCACAAGAAAAATGCTAAATTGAAACAAGCATTTGCAATCCAAGCTTCCATCTCAGGCTTTTACAATCCACATACGCTATTTCATGCATTTGTAGACGAATAAAGGATCATCATGCAGAATAAGAATTATTGGTATTCAAATAAAAATAACTTGAACTATCCAGATTAGCACTATGAATAAACGAATTATCAGCATCTTTGAACCTGATTCTCCTCTTTAGAATACTTGTCATTCCATATTTCATTACATACAATTGCTAAATTTACTTTTCACATGATTTTTCATGGCTTGAACAGCATGTGTAAAACATTACTCACATCCGCAATAGAGGCTGACTGAAAACAATGAAAATTATGCTTTAGAACAGATACACGTTTTAAAGAATCATATTAAAGTTTCAAGCATGTGACTGTAAAATGAGCCAAAACTTACATTTGAAAGGCGGAAGGGACAAAATTTTGGTTTTCCTCTTCTTCCGTATTTCAGCAGGTATGCCCCTTTCTTCAGAGCAGTAATGGCCTGTTGTAAAGAGTATCCAATAAGCTAACTATGGCATATTTTGCACACTTGACATAATTATACCTCCCAAGATGAATTTACACGTGGCAGAATGACAAATTAAGGAAAACATCCACTGCATCATTATATTATTCAAGAAAAGAAAAAACTCTTTATAATACAACAACAACAAAACCATATTCTCATATGCAATGGGGTAAGGGAGAGGTAGGGTAGTAGGGTGCTCCCAAAGCCAGGTTAAGAGCAGCTTCCGTGTAAGACCTCCGGCAGTCAGAAAATTAAAAATAAAGATAAAGTACAATGCATGTGTAAATAAATAAATACATAGTTGAACAGTCTTCATATGCAGAGAAGGATACATAGAAGTCATCGATAACAATCTATGAGAAGGAATAAACTCCAATAACATAAACGTATAAAAAGTAGAGGTCAATGGAAATTACTACAAAGGCAATTAAAAAGAAGACAGAGATGCTGCACCCCTATGATTGTGACCCACACTACTCGGTCACCCTGGTCTTAAGTCTCCATACTTTCCTATCAGAGGTCATGTCCTCGGTAAGGGCTAATTCCTTCAAATCAGATCTCAAGCAGTCTACTCACTTCCTCCTTGGTCGTCCTCTCCTTCTGGAACTGTCGACTGTAATCGACTCTACCCTCCTGACCGCATCCGACGGTTGTCGCCTAAGGACATGCCCAAACCACCGTAGTCTTCCCTCTCTCAATTTTTCGAATACAGGCACCACCCCCAAGGACATCCTAATTGCAGAGTTTGGTGTCATGTCCCACAGAGTCCTACCACATGTCTATCGAAGCATTCTCATTTCTGCGGCCTCCATCCTCCTTACGTGATCCTTCTTGATTGCCCAACATTCTGATCCATACAACAACGCTGGCCTTATTGTCATTCTATAAAATTTTCCCTTAAGTTTTAGAGGCACCTTCTTGTCACACAAGACTCCAGTAGCAGCTTTCTCAAATTGTGTCATCCCACTCCATCTTTATGTATCATAGACCCTAGGTACTTGAAACAATCCTTTGAGGGGAGAACGTGTCCTTCGACGCATACTTCTACATCTTCATCGTTTTGGTTCCCACTTTAGTTTGAACATAAATACTCTGTCTTTTCAATATTGATCCTTAGACCTTTTTCTTCCAAAGCAGTCTTCCAGGTAACCAGTCTACTATTCAGCTCATTTTTTGTTTCAGTAACTAGGACAATGTCGTCAGCGAAAAGCATACACCCTGGAACACCGTCTGCTGTCGCCCCATAGATGTTGTCCATAATCAAGGCGAAGATGTAAGGGCTAAGAGCCGACCCCTGGTGGAGTCCGATTTCCACCGGGAATGCCTAGGTGTCGCCAATTGTAGTCCTGACGTATGTAGTAGATCTACAGTACATATCACGAATCGCCCGGATATAAGCAGTTGGGATCCGTCTCGTATCCAAGGTCTTCCAGATCGTATCGCATGGTACGCTATCATACGCCTTCTCAAGGTCAATGAACGCCATGTGAAGATCTCTATTTTTTCCTATATTTCTCTATAAGCCGTCGAAGTAGATGAATCGCCTCCGTAGTAGACCTGCCTGGCATAAAGCCAAATTGATTTTCCGAAACCCTAGTAACCTGTCTCAACCTAGCCTCTATCACTCTTTCCCATAGCTTCATGGTATGACTGAATAGTTTAATACCTCTGTAGTTACCACAACGTTGGGGATCTCCTTTATTCTTATAGATTGGTATCACCGTAGACTCTCTCCACTCCTCTGACATCTTGGCAGTCTCTAAAATAATATTAAAGATGTTGGTCAACCACTTAACTCCCTCTTCTCCTAGGGTCAACCACACAGAGATAGAAATTTGATCTGGATCGACAGCTTTGTCCCTCCCCATCTTTCTGAGGGCTATTTTGACTTCCTCAATCCCGATCCTGTTAGTATGGCAGTCATTGGTCGTAGTATGATGGTCGGCTGACCCATCAACATTACTATCTCTACAGGGAGAGGCACCGTTATTAAATAAGTCAAATAAGTAACTATCCCAAACCCTCTTAATATCATGATCTTTCACTAAAAGAACATCATTGTTATCCTTAATAAACCTAATGCTACCTAGATCCTTTTTCCTATTCTCCCTGAATTTTGCAAGCCTAAAATGTCGTTTTGTTCTTCCTTGGTGTCTAATCTCTTGTACATTTCCTCGTATGCCTTATCCTTTGCTTTAGCCACTATTTTCTTGGCTTCCCGCTTTGCCTCCTTGTATCTTTGTTTAACTCTCGATCTTTCTTCGTCGCAATTACATTGTAGCAACTCTTTGAAGCAAGTTTGCTTTGTCTTCACCTTAGTTTGGACTTCGTTGTTCCACCACCACGATTCTTTATGTTCCTTGACCTTCCCTGTCAACAACCTAAGGGTGTTTTTGCCCACCTCTCTTATGGAATTTGCCTTATGGAAATCCCCTTTGACCAAAGCAAATTCCAGATCGACTCCCGCCTTGACTAATGTAACACCACATTAATGCTCAGCAACCAAGCAATACTCAAAATCTAAGCAATGTATTTATCCATCTCAACTTGAAAAAGAGATACATACATTAGAATTACCTCCAGCCTACACTTCAGAGAGCTTAGATCAGGATCTCCAAGGATCCAGAGACAAATAAAAGATTCTCACAAAGGATGGTTTGTGTCTATAGATGTGACATGGAAATTATATACGTTCCATTTCTTTATCTATTACTAGTTATCAATTTGCGTAGCATTGACTTAGTACTTAAATTTCAACTACCCAAGAAGAAATAATCTGCAGAAGTATTAAATTACTCATGGAAGACAAAACAAGAAAATGCCATAAGCTGTTAACATATCCTAAATGCAACCTCATAACAATATTCAAATAAGATATGATCACTCATGGTGAAACAGAAAACAATAACCAGCAGAGAAGTATCAGCACTCAATTTGATTTGAGTCCAGAAAGTAAAGTAGCCGCATAATAAAATGCCAACAAATTTCATCACTCCTAGAACATACAGTGCTTGGTATTCCATTCATTTGACACGTGACTGGTTTTAGTTTCATAGTGATTCGAATGGTGAATTCTAATAACATTCAATCATCGCAATAACAAGATCAGCTGATTCCCCCACCCCCTCCCTTCACTAGCACTACTAAAGTCGAACAGTAGAAGCTTTGCAAAAGCAACTTACAGTTAAAATAAGCTCAGAATTTCTAATGGGGCTTCACCATAGACAAGCTACAACAAGAATATGCTACCATTTTCTCTACTCGATCCCACAACTAAGCATAATTTACCCATACACATCACTGGAAAACAGTTAAACGTCTCAATTACTACTAAGACATCCTCAAGTTGAAGGCATGGAATCAGCAAGAGAGAGAAAAAAACTAAAAAAATTCAATCAAACAAACAGCAAAATCAAATTCAGTAATTGAAGTACAAGGAAAATCAGCAACTAAAGGGGGAAAAAGAACCTGCTCGATGTCTCTTTCGACGGGGCCGGTTCTGCTAAGATCGGAAGACATCCTGTCCGTTCTTGACATAAAAGAAACTACACTTTACTAAACCAAATCAAATTGACCACCTAAACCCACTCAAAAGAGTCAAGGATCCAAACAAGTAAAGAAAAAACGAACTCCCTTAAGAAATGTTCAAAATAAACTCATCCATTTTCGAAACCAAACCCTTCCATCCAAATAACCCTTCACTTTTAGCTCCTCTCCACAGCTGAGCCCTAACTTCAAGATCTCAAAGTCCACCCAATCTCCAAAAAATCGGGTTTCTACCATCAAGAAAATTTCGCTAACCCCAATCTTCACTCTTTTACACCCCTTTCGGAATTCCAATGGCAGTAATACGGACAGAATAAAGTTTTCAGTAGTGAAAGTGATCAAGCAAACAAAAAGGTGGGGATGAAAGAAAAAGAATCGATTGAGAATGAAGGTGGAAATGTACGCAGGGAAGTGTTTGGAAGGAGAGAAAATCTGGGGGGGAAGTGGAAAGGAATACAAAACGAGAAAGTGTTGAGAAAATGTAAAAATATGATCTGATTACGAGTGGTAGAATAGAGGGAGAAGGGGAATAAAAAAATGCGAAAGAAACGGAAAAGTGAAAGAAAATAACAGCGGGGATAATGCTAATTGCTAAAATATAAATACAAGCAAAAAAATATTAATATTAATTCATGGGAAATGTTGCTTTGATTAACAGTATCTGCTTCTTACTTTTCTGTTTTCCAGTAATTGCTTTTTATTTTTCTATTATTTCTCGTGTTTTTCCCGTTTGGTGGCCGAGAAAAGGAATGGAAAAATATTAAGGGTGCGTTTGATTTATAAAATATAATATTATAAATGGAAATGTAAAATTATTAATAGAAATATAAGATTATCAGGAATAAATTACTGTAAATCGATAGTCAAATCACTTTTCTCTAATTTTTTTTTTTTTTTTTGTTCTCGAATTTTCAACTATCCATTTCAACAAGAAAAAAATTTAAATTATTTTTTTAATTATTAGAGTCAAAATGATATATTTTATTATTTAATTTTTTGTTAATTAATTTTTTACTGTAGAGAATAATAACATTATTAAATTAACGTTAATTAATTTTTATTTTCCCTGCATGTCATAAAAATTTAAATGAAATTTAACAAAAACGATATTTATAGAAATGGACAAATAGTTTACCCCAACATTTTAACAAGGATAAAACGGTATCGTTGTTTCACCATGTTTGGATTAATTTGATAATAATAAAAAGTTCAATAATTAAAAACTACAATAAATTTTAAGGATTAAAATGACTAAAGTAATCAAATTGAAGGGTCAAAAAGATAATTTTACCATACAATATTACTAAGGATGTGTTTATTTGATTATGTCACTGGCCTAGACTGCTGCTAGCAAGCTCGTGCGGCCTTAGTCGTTTTCAAGGTCGAAAATCGGCTAAGTAACCCAAACCTCCACTAAGCAAGAATACTTAGAACGTTGCGAAAACAAAGGAAATGGGAAAAATAAAGAGATGGGTGCTCAAATGGAGAAGAGAGAGCTTAGAGTGAATGCTAACTTGTATTCCTCAATCTGAAGTGAGTAAATGAGGTGGGGGTGAGCCTCATTTTATAGTTGGAGCCCCCTACAATCAACGGTTAAGATTAAATTACATCAACGGTCAGAAAAGAGCCCTACTCTATCTACAACTCTAAAATAAAGGATAATTAGTGGGAATTATCTCTAAGATAATTTCAAATAATTATCATGTTTTTTCTCTCTCCAAGGTGGATAGGCCAGCTCTGCTGGGTCTTCTAGAAGGCCCAATATGTGGCAAAGATAGTCTCTGGCAGCCTTGAACGAATTGGGCTCGGTCTTGGGCTGGCGGTCTGTGACATTCTCTCCCACTAGTTCTAGCGACTCCCTCGTTGCGCGACTAGAGTGAAACTGGTCTATCTTATCTCGGAATTGCCACAAGGCTTCGGAAGGTTCCCACCCTCACTCTCTGGAAGTCCTTTCCACTGAACAAAGTATTCATGCCTTGGTCGTTTTCCCACTCCATGAACGACTCTCTCTGCGTGGATAGCTTCTACTTCTCTCTCGTATGAGACCTTTACCCTGACTGGCGCTCGGTGTGACTTGCCTCGATCTAGCTCCTCCTCATCCTGATGATATGGCTTCAACAAACTCACATGGAACACAGGATGAGCTTTGATGGTCGAAGGTAACTCCAATTTGTAGGCCATGGTACCTACTAGCTTCAAAACTTTGAATGGCCCCTCGTATCTTCGCACAAGCCCTTTGTGATATGGGTTGCGCAAAATACCACTTAATTTGGCAAGGACTACATCATCAACCTCAAAGTTTACGTCTCGACGCTTTCGATCCGCCCACTTCTTGGTCCGCTTCCCGGCCTTGTACAAACAAGCTCGGGCTAGTTCATGTGTTTCTTGCCACTCCTTATCAAATTGGTATGTTGTTGGATTCGGCCCTTGGTACCCGGTCACAACCGCATTTGGTGTTAACGGTTGCTGCCCTGTAATAATCTCAAATGGAATCTGATTGGTCGCTTCACTCATCTACAAATTGTAGGAAAACTGGGTTATATCCAACAATTTTGGCCAGTCACGTTGCGTGGCACTCACATAGTGCCTCAAGTATGTCTCTACGAGTGCATTCACTCTCTCGGTTTGCCCATCCGTCTGTGGATGAACACTTGCTGAAAAGTTCAAGCTTGATCCCATCAATTTGAACAACTCCTTCCAAAACCTCTCAGTAAACCTTGTGTCCCGATCACTGATAATCATCTTTGGAACACCCCAGTACTTCACCACGTACTTGAGAAAAAGACGAGCGGCCTCCTCGGCTGGACAAACTTTGGATGCTGGAATAAAGGTCCCATACTAGGAAAATCTATCCACCACGACCATGATGCTAGAAAATTCGTCAGAAACAGGCAAATCGACAATGAAATCCATGAAAAGGCTTTCCCATAGTTTCTCGGGGATAGACAGAGGATACAACAATCCAGCTGGTCTCCTCTGCTCTATCTTATTTTGCTGGCACACAAGACAGGTCTTCACACAGGCCTCGACATCATTGCCCATGTGCGGCCAATAATAGTGCTCTGCTATCAAGGCCAAAGTCAGGTGAATCCCCGGATGTCCCGTCTACTTGGAATCATGGCATTCCCTCATTATCTCCTTTCGCAATCCTTCAAATTGTGGCACATAGAGGCGGTGTCCTCGAGCATACAACAAGCCTTCATCTAGCCAAAACTTTCGAGTCTTGCCCTCCTTGGCAAGCTCAATCAATGAAGGGGCTATCGGGTCATGTGACAACCCCTCTTTGATGCGCTCCTGCATCCGTCCCGTCGGCAAACTCACAAACTCCATGTCACACCTTCGGCTTAAGGCATCGGTCACAAAATTCACTTTCCCTGGTTTATGCCCCAAGGACAATTCAAACTCGGCAAGGAACTCTTGCCAATGAGCCTGCGTCAGTGACAACTTATTATGGGTTAAGAAGTAACTATTGGCAACATTGTCGGTAAACACAATGAACTTGGACCCAAGCAAGTAATGTCGCCATGTGCACAAACAGTGGACAACCGCAATCATCTCTTTCTCATAGATCGTGTATCTCCTCTCGGTCTCATTGAGCTTCCAGCTTTCATAAGCAACCGGATGTCCCTCTTGCATTAGGACCCCACCAATAGCAACATCCGATGCATCGGTGAATACTTCAAAGGGCTTGGTGTGATCTGGCAACACCAAAACTGGTTCGCTTATCATAGCAAGCTTGATTTCGTCAAAGGCACTTTGATACTTCGGGCCCCAATCCCAAGCCTTCTTTCTTCAATAACTCGGTTAAGGGGGCTGTGAATTTTGAGTAACCTTTGATAAACCTTCGGTAATAGTTAGCCAACCCCAGGAATGATCTCAGCTCCGTCACATTGGTTGGCACTTGCCATTCGTCAATGGCTCGAACCTTGTCCCTATCCATCCAGATCTTACTATCTCCATTAATGTGGCCAAGGAAAGGAACCTCCGTTTTGGCGAATGAGCACTTCTATTCTTTTACAAAGAGCTCATTCTCCCGCAACACCAGGAACACCTGCTTCAAGTGTTCAACATGCTCCTCCAACGTCTTGTTGTAGATGACGATGTCGTCGAGGTAGACAATAACGAATCGATCCAGAAAAGGCTACAACACCTTGTTCATCAGGGTGCAGAAAGTGGCTGGAGCATTTGAGAGGCCAAAGGGCATCACAAGGTATTCATATGAACCGTACCTAGTCACACAGGCTATCTTCGGTTCATCTCCCTCGGCTATCCTGACTTGGTAATAGCCCGATCTCAAATCCAACTTGGTGAATCACCTTGCACCACCAAGCTGATCAAATAAGTCCGCAATGAGAGGAATCGGGTACTTGTTCTTCACCGTGAGCTTATTCAAAGCCCGGTAATCGATGCACATCCGTAAAGAACCATCGTGCTTCTTCTGAAACAATACTGGGGCACCATAGGGGGACTTGGATAGTCGGATGTATCCGGCATCGAGGAGATCCTTCAACTGTCTACGCATCTCCTCTAATTCGGGTGGAACCATTCGGTAAGGGGCTCGAGCGGGTGTCTTTGTATTCGGCACAAGCTCAATCTTGTGATCCACCTCTCTCTTTGGAGGCAACTTCTTAGGTAACTCGGCAGACATCACATCTTGGAATTTTGCCAACACGTGGCTCACCATGTCGGGAACTTTCTTGGTCGTGGCTAGCTCATCACACACTAAGACATCTAAGAATGTTGGTTCCTCCTTGTACACTGCCTTCGAGAATTGAATTGCGGATAAAACTTTGGCCCCTACTCCGGGCCCTCAGCTCACTAGAATAATGCACTGTTGCTTTGGATCCAAGATGCACAAACAATCGGCAAAAGGTACTGGGAAAGCATTGATTCGGTCCAAGAAACTTAACCCAAGCACGAAGTCGAAGTCATCAAGAGGAATCACCTTGATGGCTTCCCTTCCGACCAACCTCCAACGGTTATCTTAATTCCCTTTGCGACTCGGAACCTCTTTGGTATTGACGGTCTTGATAGAACCACTTTTCTTCTCGACATGAAGACCAAGTCTCTTGGCAACTAGTTCTGACATGAACAACTCTGAGGCACCTGTGTCCACTAGTGCACTCAATTTCTAGCCAACAATGGTGATGTCAACGAACATCAACCCCTTCTTCTTCCGACCCCTCTTGACCTCTATGGTACTAAGGATAGAGCCAAGCTTTAGAGTCTCACTCTCCTCCCCATCTTTCTCCTTGATGGCCGAGAGTTTATTCTTCTGCGGACAGTCCCTCGCCAAATGCCCTTGGCCCTTGTAGTTGTAACACTGGATAATTTGTTTGTCTTTCTTATCCGAGTGCTTACTATTCGATGGATTGCCAGTGCCACTCGAATCTTTGTCGGATTTGGATGCCTTGTCCCTATCACCACTGCTGCCTCAAAATTTCGGCTTTGGTTTGGAGTCCACCTTCTTGA